TTGCTGCCAATGGTATTAGTTCATTCTTTTTATGGCTAATATTCTATTGTGTGTGTATATATATATATATATATATATATATATACCACATCATCATCCATTCATCTGTTATACCACGTCATCATCCATTCATCTGTAGCACTTAAGTTGTTTCCATGTCTTAACTATTCTGAATAGTGCCGCTATGAACATTGGGCGGCTAGTGTCTTTTCGAGTGGGAGTTTTCTCCAGGTATATGCCCAGGATTGGGATTGCTAGATTATGGCAGCTCTATTATTCATTTTTCAAGGAACCTCCATACTCTTTTTCATAGTGGCTGCACCAATTTACATTACCACCGACGGTGTAGGAGGGTTCCCTTTTCTCCACACTCTCTCTAGCATTATTTTCTTCCCTTTTGTTTTGTTTTGTTGGTCATACCACTTGGCTTGTGGGATCTTAGTTCCCCGACCAGGGATGGAACCCAGACCTCGGCACTGAAAGCAGTGAAAGTGAAAGTCCTAACCACTGGACCATAAGGGAACTCCCTCCAGCATTTACTGTTTACAGACTTTTTGATAATGGCCATTCAGGAGTGAAGTATCATGACCCCAGAAGTGAATGGAACTTGTGTCTGTCTGGTTCATTTGAGTCCAGGAAGCCACAGACCAGTGCAGAATACAGGACCTCATGGCCAAGGGTAGAGTTGAGTTGTTACTATAACAGAAAGAGAATGGTGTAGGGATGATGGCTCAGGGTTTGAGGCAGGCGAATTATGACAGCAAACGTGAGGTTGACTAAAGGAAGCACATGAACCAAGAGTCAAAGGGGGTTGATAGCCAGAGGGTGATGAATGGACAGCCTGATGCAAACTCTATGCACCCTCATTTTCCCACACCTGGGGTCAATTCCATTTATATTAGGGGATGATCCAGAATTCCCATTTTAGACTTGAGTTCCTGGGAGCAGACTCTGAGACTCTGAGATGAACATACAGGAGATTTAATGGGGAGTCCTCTTGGGAACAACATTTGTAAGGGCATGAAGGAGGCAGGACTGGGCCGTAGAAGAAGTTGTTACCACAATGTAGCTGCAACAGAGGCTCAGCTAATCTTATGGGCTGGAATGGTTGGAATGGCTTATCAGCATGTCCCAAATTAAAGCCAGGGAGCAAGTGATTCTCTCCCCTCCAGACCCAGGCACTGGAAGTGAGCTGCCGCCCTGGGAGGACAGTCCTGAAGAGACCAGCTGAGAGCGCCAAGTGTCAGCGCTCCCGGAGCGGATGGGATGAGTGCTCCTCATTCTGCACAGGCTGTGTGGACAGCACCTCTCAACCCAACAGTCACCTCCAGCCTGCTGCAGGATGGCCACTGTCCCAGGAGCTCAGAACTGCCGCCAAAAATGAGGTCCTGATTTTTCTTTTGTCTCAGCTTTTCCTCTTTTGCTCCTCTCCCCACCCGACCCCCCTTCACTTTAACTACAAAAACCTACTCACCCCTCCCTGACCACCAGGGGTGGTCTTGACACAACATCTGCCTTTTCGTGTGCAATTTCACCAACTTAGAATGTCCTTCCTCCTTTCCATTCACCAAAATCACGCTCCTCTTATAAGGCCAACTTCAAAAGCTAGTTGAAGTTTGACATTTGACATTGATTCCTCCTTCGTCTGGGGTCCTGAAGCATTCTGTTTGTGATTCTGTTATTGTATCTGTCCTGCTTGCTTCGGAGTTGATCTTGTACTTGTGTTTTCCCTTCTCAGGTTACAATCTATACATGCAGAGCCCGCTCCTTCATCTTATCCTCCTCTCCATTACCTACCGTCCTGCATGGTACAAGACAGACTCCCAACAAATCAGAAATCATTGCATAAAATGTCCCAGAGTGTTATGGCAGTTTCTTATGAAAAATCTCTCTAAAGGTCTATACATCACCCAGCATTCTTCCTTCTCTTGGGAAGCAGGTGACACTTTTTTTATTTAATAGAGTTTGAGTGCCTATTATGGGACAGATACTGACAGGGCTATTTCTTAGTATTCCTTTTGTTGTTGCTGAGGTAAAACTCATACACTATAAAACCAATCATTTAAACTGTACCTACCATTCAGGGCTTCTCTGGCCATCCAGAGGTTGCGTCTCCAGGCTTCCACTGCAGGAGATCTGATCCAAGGATTTGATCATTTGTCAGGGAACTAAGATCCCACATGCTACACAGTGTGATCAAAAAATAAAAGTAAATTAAAATTGTTTTAAATGTACAATTCAGTGGCATTTGGTACATTCACAATGCTGTGCAGCCATAACTTCTATCTTACTCTAAAACAATGACATCACCTGAAAAGCAAACCTCTTTCTTTTGTTCTTAAAGAAATTACACCTAGTCTTTGACTCATTTGAAAAGACCCTGATGCTGGGAAAGATTGAAGTCAGGAAGAGAAGGGGATGACAGAGGATGAGAGATGGTTGGATGGCACCACCGACTCGATGGACATGAGTTTGGGTAAACTCTGGGAGTTGGTGATGGACAGGGAGGCCTGGCATGCTGTGGTCCATGGGGTCGCAAAGAGTCGGACACAACTGAGTGACTGAACTGAACTGAACTGTGTTCCCCAGAAGCTAGACACGGTGCAGCAAGCAAAAAATGGTCCTAATGTTCTAATGGTCCTAATGAAAACATACAGTTACACCCACCTTAAAAAGGGTTTCTGTCACAAGAAGCACATGTAGGACAGCTCTTGTTCTTTGCAGAATCAACATCAAGAGATTTTGGAAGTATAATTTTTTGGTTCTTGGGTAGCTGGTGATTGTTGGTCCTGGCACCCTTTAAAAAAAAAAAAGCAAAAACAAACTTTGCGTAGAAATCAAGCTGGGTTTTCTATGTTTGTTACTGAAGGGGAAGGAACTTTCTTTCCAGTGATCTGAGAGGGTTGTTTGGGTATCATCAGAGGTTCTGAATTCCCATCCTGAGGGGACAGCTCCCAACTTTGGAGCAAGGGAGGCCCTAAGGTACTGGAGGTGATAGGTGACCCCATCCTCGGATGGGGCACAAGAGTTGTGTGGTCTGCAGCCTCGGTGAGCATTAGATGTGATGGACACTAAAGGGACAGTAAAACCCTGTTGGTTAGTCTTTGTCTTTTGATGTCCTTACATTTCTGTCTCCTCCTGATTAAATGAATGAAACTGCAAGCTCTAAGAGGAAAGGAGAGGCAGCCACTGGCTGGGAAGTTCAAAACCACACTTTATGACCAAGGAACATAGATACTTTGAGTAGTCATCTTCTTTTTCAATCACTCTGAACTCTATTCTGCTTTACAGATAAGAGGAAACCAAGGCTGAGAGGAGAGTAACGGCTCAGACGCACAAGGAAACACAGAAGTACAATTTACAGACCCTGCCATGTCATGTGGGGGTTTTGTAAGGACTGCCCAGGAACCCCTCCTGTCCCCACTCTTCATCCACTCTCATCCCCAGGCATTTTTGTGACGATGAGTAGTGACTCCTTTCTCCATCCCAAGTGGTTATCTTAACACTGAAGCCTTTAATTCTTCCTCTCGGGAACATGGATCTGTTCTATAACATGTAGCAAAGATGATCAAGCCAATGGGAACATTAGCTGCTCAGATGCTCATCCCCAGTGGGAGACCAAACATACACATAACCAGGAAAAACTATGCACAAGTATATTTATTGTCTTTTATTGTATTTCTAAAAAGGCAATGTCAACTGTTAAAATCACCTTCTGAAAATAAATTTTTTGGAAATGCATTCTTTATAAATGGAAAGCATGCAATAATGTGTAAATTTACAGAAGCATTTTAAACTGGTTAACTCAGGTAATAGTTTGCAAAATAGGCTTTGTTTTTGGAGCAATTACAGATATCCTTAGACTTTGTAAGTCTTAATTCTGATTAAGGCTGTAAGAACAGAGATTTCTCTTAATGACTAATTACATAATTAAAATGACTTGTAAGAAGTGACTGACTGAAATTTTGATTCATCCAAAAGTTAAAAACCAGGGCCAATATTTTAAAAGATGACACTTTTCACAATTCCAAATTTTTTGGAAGTCATTTTTATGCCATATCAGCATTAACTTTTAGTGGATTATTTTTGCCTTACTTGATGCCAGGCACTTTGACATGATTAAGGAAGCTATGTCTTACTTGATTAGTCCTTGTAATTTTTGGTTTTGAAGGAAATGCTTGTAAATGAGTAAAGGACCCCAAATAAATGTATCTGGGCCTATGTATTATTTCTTAAATTTGAATACTCATGTATTAATGAAAATAAAACACACCACAAGCATATGAAACTGTGTTTGAATTTCCACAAGTTACATTTAAATTTGTTAATGCCTTGCATTTCATGTTTAGAAATCAGACCATTCTAATGCCCTCTTAAGCTTATACTTGTTCTCAGCATTGGAAGTTTGGCTTTCATTAACAAATAATCCTTCACAATAAAAGAATCCAGATCTAATTTCATGCCTTTACTATTCGTTTCTGGGAGTACACTGTGCTTCAGATATATGATTAGGAAACCACTGGGACAGTAAGCCAAAGTTTTTCTATATTGTTTCACAGAAGCTAGTAAAAGTTTAAAGGCCTCATTTTCACAGCAAGAATTAGCACTTTACTCCCCCAGTCAATGCTCTACAAACCCCTCTAAAGAATGCCATGAAAAAAAAAAAGAATCCCATGAGTTCAGGTTGGAAGGGAATGGACTTCCCTTTCCAAAATCATCTCTCTCCTCACTGAAACATGCTCAGGACTGTCTCAGGTTCATTCATCCCTGCAGGAAAGCCTGGTGCAGCAAGGAAGGATGTCTCGGTCCAGGGGAACTCTGGTCACACTGAACTTGTGCTTGGCAGGAAGAAAACGTGACTTCCAGGTGAGAAGCCCTGCTTTTTGCAGTGGATGTAATTCTTCTCCCCTGTACTTGTTCAGGAAACTGTTCCTTTGATGCAATTTTAAATAAGCTCTCAACTTGGGAAGCTTATTAACTGTTTCTTGCGTTTTCAGTTTTTACAGAGCATCGCGGAGATCATGGTCCACTGTGGACTGTGTGTAAGATGAGCTGGGGGTGTCAGTGTACATTGGGAGGAATCGACAGTATTGGCAGAGCATCAAAGTGCCCCGGCAGGTTTTGAAGAGCTGTACGATGTACTTGCGAAATTTCTCCCCCAGGAAGAAGTAGATGACAGGATTGAGACAGCAGTGAACAAAAGCCAGGGTCTCTGTGGTCTGAATGGCATAGTCCAGGTGTCGCTCAAACGTGCAGTCCTGAAGGACCTCCAACTCCACCAGGGTCTCCAGGAAGAGCACCACATTGTAAGGGGTCCAGAAACCCAGGAAGAGGACCACCACAGCAAAAATCATCTTCACTGCCTTGTTCTTCTTCTCATTTTTGCAGTGCTGCAAAGTCCTAATGATCATGGAGTAGCAGAACAGCATGATCCCCAGAGGGATCACCAGCCCCAGAATGTTGATCTCCAGGGAGCTCAGGACCTTCCACTGCGTGGAGTTGAAAGAGTACTTGGTTTTGCAGTAGGTGTGGTTACGCTCAGTATAACACGTGCTGAACATGAGGCCTGGGAGGGAGGCGAGCACAGCCACTGACCACGTGGCCACACTGGTGATGACGCCGTACGTCAAGGTCCTGGCTCTCAGGGAGAAGACGGCGTGCACGATGGCCAGGTACCTATCGATGCTCATGAGTGTGATGAAGAAGATGCCACTGTAGAAGCCCACCAGGTATATCCAAGAAATGAGCTTGCAGAGGCCAAGCCCGAACACCCACTGATCTGCAGCATAGTAGCCCCAGAAAGGGAGCGAGAGCACGAAGAGCAGGTCTGAGATCGCGAGGTTGAGCAGGTACACGTCAGTCATGGACTTGAGCCGCTTGTACTTGAACAGGACCAAGACCACCACAGAATTTCCAAGCAGACCGAAGAGGAAGACCAAGGAGTAAAGTGGGGGCAGGAAGAGCCCCCCAAATGCCTTGATTCCGTCCTTGTTGCAAGGCTTGGGGAGGTTTTCATAGAGATAATAACTGTTATAGATGCTTTCATCCAGGGTGGTGTCTGCTGTATCCGTGGGGTTCATTTTCAGATTTACAGGCTCCTCAAGGCAGGTCAGAGCCCAACCAGAAGAACCTAATGAGGGGAAGAGCCAACAGATTTCTATAAGAAACATATCAGAACGGTGCTGTGTGCAGAGCACAGCTGCTTCGCCCAGATCATCAGACACTCTTCCCGAGCTTCCGGCATTGAGGGGCTCAGGTCCTTGAACTGAAGAGCAGTGCAGCCACAGTGAAATAATCCTGCCCTTTGGCGGCAGACAGATACCAACTCCAGCTCTGCCACTTTCCCTACCCCTCTGCCGGGAGCTCTGGTTCTCCCATTTGCAAGCGGGAGAAGTAAAACCTTCTTTCAGTGAGGTGTTTTTCAAGGATGTATTTCTGAAAGCTAGTCTGGCATTTACTGAAATCGCTCACAGAAATGACAAGACCAGATGACCTGCCAAACAGTACCGCAGCCAGGGCCTTTCTGACATGAAAGCAAAAAAAAAAAAGAAAACCTATGCATGTTTCCCCTTCAGATTGTAAAGCCCAAAATTCAGAGATGACTTAGGTAAATCATCAGGCTAGAAAGGAACCAGGTTGACCTCTTGCTTTTGTGTAAAAATTCTAATTCCTTCTGTGTGCTTTGCACTTTACAGATTTCATAGCATGTTCGCTGGTATTGTGCATTCAATCCAGTCTTGTATTCCTGTTCCTACACCCCTTTCAACAAAAACCTGGTATTCTAAGCCAAATACCACACTGAGCTGTGGTGCAGATGACTCACAAGAGTCTCGGAGAAGTTAAGCGTCTCCTGAAGACCACACGGCCACACAGAGAATGTCTTCTTTGGGCCCCAAGTCCCAGTGGTGTGCTGTAGGTGAGCCAGGTCTGGGAGGGTGAGGAGGGGGCGCTGGGGGGCTCTGATGTGTGCCTCGTGCTGGTCCCCATGGTGTAAACACTCCCACCATGTGTGTGTGCTAAGTCGCTTCAGTCATGTCCTGCTCTTTGCAACCCCCTGGACTGTGTAGCCCACCAGGCTCCTCTGTCCATGGGATTCTCCAGGCAAGAATACTGGAGTGGGTTGCCATGCCCTCCTCCAGGGGATCTTCCCAACTCAGGGGTCGAACCTACATCTCCTGCATTGAAGGCGGATTCTTTTACCATCGAGCCACTGGGGAAGCCCAAACACTCCCACCGTGGCCAAGGTCAGATCACCAACTGTCCCACAAAATTTCCGAAGATTTAACAATCAGCTACTGAGCACTGTTGCAGGTGGGCCCCAGCACACCACACCCAAGTCCTGTGTTTGCTCTGGAGCGCTGTCTTACCTGGAACACAGCTGGACTTCCAGGCTGCGTGGCTGGCCACTCCCAGGCCAATCTGACACTAAAGCAGCAAATGTGTTTTTCCAGGCCCTATGGAAGGTGGCAGTATTCAGTTGGGTAAGTTGAGGGAAATTTCTGGTCTTTTCATCAGAACTGCATATAAAGATCAATTTTATGCACAAATGCCATCAGAGTGGCAATGAGCAGGATAGATCTAGAAAAGGCACGTCATAGCCAGAAATAAAATCTCTACCTTCCCAACCACCTTCATTTCTTATCTAAACTGGCAGATGAGGTTACAGTCTTAACCTTACACACACGCTCAACCACCCTCATTTCCTATCTAAATTGGCAGATGAAGAGGTTAAGACCTTCTGAAAGTTACGCACATGTCCACATGTGAGTCAAAGCAGTGCAGGAGGCTTTCTGCCTCAAGGCCACCTCTCCTTGCATCCTTCTTAGAGGCACCCTGATATTCTTAATCAAAGCCCTATCACATTGCTCAATAATTCCACATACCTTCCCCATCTCCCACTCTGACCACCACACACCCAAACACCCAAACTATGTTTCTCAACAGAGAAGTTTTGATTTATTCCTGCAAAGGGATGCCGAAAACCTGGGGCATCACAGGTTCTCAAAAAAAAAAAAAAATTGTGTTAAATGATTATCAATTCCAATTAAACAAATAACAATTCTGGTCTACCGCCATCATTTTACCAGTGAACATGGAAGGAATAAGAGAGGCTGAGGTGTTAGGAAATTATCAGGAGACGAAACAGAAGTCGACACAGCTGGTAAATGTCTGGAATTATTCGGCAGCCCTCATTTGACTGGTGTCTCTTGAGCCGGGAGTCTTGACAGAAGCCAGAAGTGGAAAAGTATATATGGTGAATGAAAAATAACTGTGAGTTCTGAGCACATGGCTTAGGCCAGATGTGTGCGGGAGGAGAGCACTGTTAAGCCTGGGAGAGCCAGTCAGATGAGGGCTGGGAGGGCTGTGTGTGAGCCGTAAGGACAGGTGCCATCTAGGATGAACCAGCAGAGTGACCGGGATGCCCAAGTCATCAGCTGGCTGTCCACCTGGGCAGCGTTCAGCGCTCCCAACCCCACACCCCTGCGGGCAGAGCAGCTCAGGGTCCGGGAATCCAAGCGCCCACATCGCCTGCCCCCTTACCTCGCTTTTCTGAAAGCGGCTCCAAGGCAGGTCTGCGAGGCAGTGCCCGACTTGCTCGAGAAGCAGCGCGCTCAGACAGACAGGTGCCTTTGAAGGGCGCGTGGCTTCCTGTGAACACCAAGTCTGTTCCTCGCCCATCTACGCACGCTGAGTTCAAGTGGGGTTTTTTGATAGAAGTAAGAAGCAGAAAATGACTGACTCTCCGCTTGGGTTCAGGTTACTTACTCATTTCCCCAAACTGAAAGCTGGGAAGGTTTGTGCTCTGCTAGATCGGGGAAGTCAGTTTTTCAAGAGAGAAACTTTTTCATGTTTTAAAATTTGTTGGATTTTTAACTTACCTTTTTTCCAGTTTAGCTGGCTATGTGCACTAGAGATGACCTTTATGTTCTGGATCAATGCGCTCTTTTGTTATCTCCCCATCCTGGATGCGCCGTGACCAGCAACCAAGATATGCCACAGTATGTTCTCTAAACAATGGGGTCTGAGGAGGTCAGAGTGAGAAGCCAGATTTATTTAAGAATAATAGCTAGGAGCAGGGAAGTGTATTCAGATGTGTGTGTCTGGCAGTGACATGGAGGCTCTGGTCAACCTAGTCAATAAATGTCCTCAGTCTGGTGTAAGAGACATGACGACAAAGCTCCAAGCCCCCGGCACCACAGGAAGACCCTTCCCCCAAGCCTCTTCTACTTAGACACGGCAGCGCTTCCCCTGGACGGTGGTCCTGGCTGAGTGTTTCTTTGGGTTCACCTACCAGTCATAGCCAAGGGGCTGACATTGGTCTAAGTTTTTTCAATGTGGCACCCTTGGCCCCTGCCAGCTCTCAGATGTCTCCTTTTATGTGTCTACAGGTGCTTGGCTCTTTGGTTCAGCTTTTTTTAAAAGAGCCACAAAGGTCATTTTTCCTGAGGAAGTTGCATGAATAAGAACTGAAAAATTGAACTAGAGTGGTATTTATCAACCTTTTTTTATCACCCCATCCCAAGGAGTCTTTTCACACATTTTTTTCATCATCACCTCCCCATGATATATTTGTTTTTTTTTTTTTTTGCCACGTCACATGGCATGTGGAATCTGAGTTCCCCAATGCAGTTTTAACCACTGGACAACCACGGAAATCCTCCACGAAATATTTTAATACCACGTATAAATAGGGGAGTTCCCTGGTGGTCTAGTGGTTAGTGCTTTCTATTGTTTTCACTGCTGTGGCCCAGGTTCAATCCCTGGTTGTGGAACTGATATCCACCAAGATGCGCAGTATGGCCAAAATAAATAATAATACCACAGATAAATAGTAAATACGCTTGTTTATATATATATATATATATATATATATGCTTTATGTATAACAGAGTAAGATTTATTTAGGGTGGGGGAGTTTCTTCTGGCTTCTAATGGGAAGAGACTGGAAATGCTGCTTAAAATCCTACCACATGCAGGGCAGCCCTCCACGATGGAGTCACCCAGCCCGCAAGACCAGCAGTACTGAGGTTGAGGGCTCCTAAGCTAGAGGAATGTTCCCCCAGGTAAACTGCAGAGCCAGATGGACAGAGATTCTGTAAAAGGAAATGGACAAAGAAGCTTGGGGAATGTGTGGCTTGGACTCAGGTTAAATGCTGAGCATGGTACAGTTCCTTATTGTAATGCTTTCCCAGTGCTAATATTACCACAAACTCTGGAAGCAGATAGAGAGTAAAAATGTCTCAGGTATGTTATTGCCAGAGCTGACACCAGACCTGTGGACAGGAGCTAACGCATATCTTTAAGTCACAGGGTCCAGAGAAGGGAATCTATGGAACCAGTAGAACCAAAAACCCACAGGGAACCAGTTGGAACCAAGATGAATCTGATCTCCAGCAGCCCTTGAGTCTCATTCTACACTGATTTTACTACATCAGCTACTAAATGATATCCTTGCCCCCAGCCATGGTCCAAAGTTGTGCCATGTTGGGAAGAAGCTCCTCTAAAACACATTCCCACTTCTCCATTCTCAGGCCATTGAATAAAGCTTGTGCTACATCAGTCTCAGCTTTGGTTTAGTCTGGCTGCATGAACCTGAAAGGAGTGAGAACCTTCCCTGTTGAGGTGGGGGCCTCAGCTGGGCTAGGGCCCCAGCAGGGGTCCATACGGGCTGACTGGGTAACAATTGGACAAATACATGGACACCCAGTATACAGAGTAACCTATAAAATGGACATATTTTTAGAAATGCAGAGCCTGAGGAAGATTCCACCATGGAATTAGAAGCCTTGAGGGACGAGTTGCCCTGGGTAAGGCCATCTGAATGTGTTGTCCAAGTCTCTGTGGACCCCTGCATGGACGGGGAGAAGAGATGAGGTTCTAGAAGAACTGGTGTTATCTGGATGTTGAAATCGTCATCAGTGGTAGTTGGTCACTATGGGTCTGGAGATGGCCCCTTAAAGCCATCTTTAAGCATCTTTAAGGGAGCAGTTGGTGCTCCCTTGACTGACTGGCCATGTGACAGGCCCCTGGCCCCACGTGTGAGTAAGTTAGAGCTCTGAGTCTGTGCTGGCTAGCGCAT